AAGATACCTTAAATTTAAGAAACCATGATTTAAGATGAACTTGGGCGGGGATACACGAGGATTAGAGTGGGACATTGTCTCTAAATCAACTAAAAGTTTTGTGGTAATCCTCCTTAGGGTACACGAATGCACTAAAGAACCTCAACATAAACAAATTGTTGTAGAAAATTACCGAACAATTTTTCCGAGCAATGTCAACCTAGTTAAAAGGTATTACCATAGTTAAAGTTTCAAGACTATCATTTTAATTTTGATTTTCAAGTATCCCAAGTTTTATGGCATTTGAGGATATCCACCATGCTTATACAATACCAATTTTTATAAGAGAATTTTGTTAAGCCCATTCTTGATATTACAAGGTGTTGAAAGGGTTGTGATGCCTTTCGGTTATGGTTATAGGAACATTAGTTTTGGGCTATTCTAGATAAGGTATACCAAGAGAAAAGCCTATTTGACAATGTTTCCAATGAAAGTTACCAAATTCTCAAACTCTAGCTTGACCACAAATCAAATACGGTAAGTCGTTTATAGATCCATATGATTTAGAGTGCATTCAATTTGCATTGGGTTAGGGTGGAGTTTTTAACCAGTTTCATGTCATGATTTTGACTCCAAAAACTTACTAGAATTAGGGTAGGTAGCCAAAAGAGAAGAAATATTACAAATTTCTTGATTTTGTAGAATTTGTATATGAAATTCATCTACAAAGATGAGACATTAATGATGAATCAAATCAAGTGGACACTTACAAATAATACAAATATAAACCATAATGAGGAAAGGAAAATAATTCTTTTTTTTCTTTTTAATTATTAAAAATATAGAGAACAAACCATTTTAATTGGAAATATTCCTCTAATAAATTCCGAGGGAACTTCTATAGTAAATGGACTTTATAGAATTGTGATCAATCAAATATCGCAAAGCGTCGATATCTATTACCGGTCAAAATTGGACTATAACAAAATTTAGATCTATATCGGCACCATAATATCTAATTGGGGAGGAAGATTAGAATTAGAGATTGATCGAGAAACAAAAGTATGAGTGTGTGTGAGTAGGAAATAAAAAAATATCTATTCTAGTTCTATGATCAGCTATGGGTTCGAATCTTAAGAGAAATGCTCGATAATGTTTCTACCCTGAAATTTTTCTTTGTCTTTCTTTAATGATAAGGAGAAAAAAAAAAAATTAGATTAAAGGAAAGTGCCATTTTGGAGTTTTATCAAAATTTCTTGTGTATGATGAGACCCCCTATTTTAAAATGAGATTTTGAGAATGTATGGACAAACACGTCAATTAGTGAACCTTTAGCTAAGTGTAGAGAATCTGATTTGGAGAACAATGTTAATCAATAAAACTATTGATCCAGTAGATGGAATCATAGTTAAAAAAAAAAAAAAAAAATGAACATTTATTTCAATGAACACTTGAGCCACAAACCTACAAAATGAATTATGTTGCTTATGAAATTGTAGGAAAATGCTCAATATGGCATGATAATGTTAGGTATGAAATTTGGTGACCATTAGGATATGATAACGGGCTAAACTTAGTATAGGTGTTAAATGACTAAAATATCCTTGTAATTATGTACCACTAGTTTAGGACCAAAATGACCTCCAAGTGATAAAATTTGATGAGGAGCCTATGTCATGGTGTAAAGGGATTGCACAAAGTTACAAGACCATTGGAATATGTTGAAGAATTAAACTAAGATTTGGGGTGGTAAATGACCAAAAGACCCTTTGTGATAATAAGAGTAATACTTTCGGGGACGAAAGTTTCTTTTTTAGAGAGGTATATAATGTAATAGCCCAATAAATAAATAAATAAATAAAAATAATTATAAAAAAATAGTTAAATAACAATAATAACAATAAATAAATAAATAAACAAAAAAACAACATTTTCCCTTCTCTCCACTAACCTTCCATCTCTCCCCACAATGATCTCTCCTCAACCCTTCCTTACTCGGCAAAAAGAAACAGAAAAACAACAGATTTGAGAAGAAGTAAAATGGCTTTCAACAGATTTAGAGATTTTTGTTAGTCATATGTGAAATCTTGTCTTAGATTTTCTTTTCCTCTATAGCTATGGTTATAAGAAATTTGATTCTCGTAAAAGATCCCATATACAATTGATTAGATTTTTGTTAACATAAATAAAGTTAGATTCAATAAAATTTTACTTGGGCAGATCTATAAACTGTAAGATCGTACCCAAACAATCAGACTTAAAATTGGCCAGTAATATCTGTTTACACAATTGAAAATCTATTTACAGAATGAAAATAAAGAGAGAGAGAGGGAGATTGAGGGAAGATTTGTTGAACAGAATTTAACAATAAAACAGGAAATATCATAGGGTAATGAACTCATTAAATTTTGTCTAACAGCAAATATCAGAATTTTAAGATGTCCAATGTAAATTAGAGAAATAATTTTGTAGAGTTCAAGCCTGAAACTAATGTCATGGGCCCATATAGGTTGACTCGATTTTTAAAGGACAAAATCGAACTTTCATTAAAGATATATTCGTGACAACGACTTAAGCTAGTCAGGTAAGTGATCTTACTATCGGCATGGTTATATTTGCTGTTAACACGTACCCCGTGGTTCTGCACTTTTTATGTCTATGTTATAATATGTGAATTGTTTTATAATAATTACGGTACGATATGTTCAATGATGTTTGAGATAGGATATGAGAAGGATGCACAAAACGAAATGTAACGATAGGAGTAAAATACGTTCATGAAACGTTAAGGTTAGGTTACATAACGGAGTGATATGGATAAGAGAGATTGATGGAAGAATACGGTTAGGTTACGTATTGATGGAAGAATACGGTTAGGTTACGGGTAGAAAGGGATAGGTTTGTGATAGATTGATAGAACGATAGCGTTAGGTTACGTTCTTGTGATGATATGACTGAGGTACGTTCACGTAATGATATGTCTGTGATAGGTATAAGAACGTTAAGGCTATGATAAGTTAAAAAACGATATGACTACGATTTACGTTATGACTTGTTTATGATAAGATACATTGTGATGCAATATGTCATGGTATGATGTGTATATGATGAAATGTTATGTTAAAAGCATAGAACGTTATGGTTAGGTCTCTTAAATTGTGTGTATACATCATGATATGAATGACATGAAATTACGATAAATGACATGAAATATAATCCTGTTAGAATTATGTATGAAATGAAGAATGAGAAACGATATGATATGAATGATGAACGATATCTGAAACGATATTAAAAATGATATGATATGTACATAATGCTAGCGGGGTTGCATTAAAGGATAATGAAAATGGAAAAGTTTTGAGACCTCATGCATTATGTGTGCTCATGTATTTGGGGGATACCCTTATCCTCCCATCACGAGGGTACGGACGCGTACATCCAATGGCAGGATAACGATTGTTATGTTTTGCATAACGCTGCTGTGACGGTTACTAGTTCTAACGGGTTCCAGCATAAGGGGCTCCCAGAGTATGCCCACCGGATAAGAAAAGTGTCCCAGCAGTGTGCGAACTAGCTGGTGAGCCCATACTCACACATATGGGCTATGTGTAGAGTATATGGTACACGTCCAAAATTACCCGTTAGGACAGCACCGTAGGGAAAACGAAACGAAAGATAGGTCTCATCATTTCATTGCATGTGATTGTTGCATTTAACCCCAATAGTGGGGTCACTTATGGAGTATTTCTCTAAATACTCAAGCCATGTGCTACTACATTTTTCAGGTTAAAGCAAGGCATTCCTATACGGCTAACGACGGCATCACAACTCGAGACCATGGCACATGCATAGGGTAATGGTATTTATTTTCTTAGACTTAGGCTAGACTAGGTGGTTTTTAACTTAAACTCTTATTCATTTTATTTAGTCTTTTGTGGTGTCGTTTTAAAGATGTTTTCGAAACACGTAAGTCCATGGCTGTGTTTTAAGATAAAAGTTATGTTTTATGAAATTTGAATGAAGTCTTCCGCATTCAATATTTATGGTACGTATACGGTAGCGACTTTAAATTAAGTAGAAAATTTCAGGTCGTTATACTTCTGCATCGAGTTAATTTCAATTGTTGAAATCTTTTTAGGACACTCCTAGTTTATGGAAACTAGAAAATTTTGGATTGATAACATCTCCTTTTAAATCTTTTTATTGTTGAACTATTTGACTAAATTGCATGTTTTAGAGGATACCCCAAGCATGATTTTTTAAATGTCTTTAGCATATCTTCATATATCATAAATTATAAAGTTTTAGTATTAAGTGACGTATTCAATTGATATGTGTGTGGAAATTCAGGTCATAATAGTTACTAGGACATCATTGAATGTCGTTGAGGTCTACTAGGTTACTTGAGCATCCAGAATGTATCTCCTCAAGCTAATCCATTATCTAGGTGCACATGGGTCTAAATCTATGATCATCACGCACTATCCTAGGGTACTCGGTCTACTGAAAGCGTATTATCCTGGGTCAACTTGGAACCGCTCTAACTCTAGTGCTCTAGTCTTAACTTGGTTCTCTTGTGCATGATTTGTTAGGGAGATTATCCTATCGCTCACCTAGAGCATGGTATTCACAAACTAAAAATTCGTGCAAGATTGTTAGGGAGATAATCCTTTCAATCACCTAAAGTACCGAAGACGTAAACTAAACATTCATGCAAACTCAACAGAGAGATAACATCCATCAATCACCTGGAGCACAGATTATAATAGCTCATCCTCTGTAACGACCCGAAATTTTCTACTTAATTTAAGGTCGCTACTGTATACATGTCATAAACATAAATGCGGAAATACTTCATTTAGATTTTCATAAAACATAACCTTAAGCATAAAACACAGCCATGGACTTATGTGTTTTGAAATGGCTGTGTTTTGAAAACACCTTTAAAACGACACAATAAAATACTAACTAAAATAAATAAATGTTTAAATTAAAACATCATATTCTAGCCTAACTCTATGCATGTGTCATAGTCTTGAGTTGTGCATGTCATCCTTGCGCAGGAGCCATGTTAATCTTCTCTGTATTGTTCTAATTTTATGGGATGTCCCGGTAATTGAGTATGTTGTTATTGTCTGGTCATTATAAAATATAACTCATAATTAAATTTTTACACCAATGACTGTATCATAATTGATTGCGTTATTGTTAGCTTAATTCTATATTTATTATAATTTAGAATACGTTATATTTTCCCTTGCATGGAATGTGAATGTAAATTGTTGTATTGATGATGTTTAGATTTACTGAGATTGTTGCTATGAATGAGTAGTTTTAGTTTTAGTAAGCTACTAAATGTTAGTATATGCGTGAAAATGATTTTGTTAAGCAAGATCAAATGTTTTAGTTAGACGTCTCGAACATAGATAAACTACACATTCTTATGACCATAGAGATGGGAATGAACGTACCAATGTATAATGAAGAGTAAGTAGTTTCAAATGAAATAAAAATGACCTAAGAAGCTTATGACCTAAGAAGCTTGGTAGATGTCAATATCTTATAGTATACTATAGATATTAAAAGTGGTAGTGTCTGAAAGAAAATTTTATAACTTTGAAGTATGTAAAGAAAAAAAAAATGAGTTAAGACCATAAAAGTTTAAAACATGTATACTTAAATTGATTGGTGAATAGCATAAGTGTTTTTAATGGAAGCTGAGCTTTGGAAGTAGGGAGATGTAGAAAACTTTCCTGCCTTAATACAAGTTAAAATTAAAAAAAAAAAAAAAGAAAGTAATACCACCAACTATGGAAGTTGTGAAGTGATTTAAAAGTATCGAGCCACAATTTGGATGAGGCATTACGGTCTGGTCAAAATTTTAGAGGTATATGGAGAGGGACTACGGTATGAGATTGTCAAGATACCTTAAATTTAAGAAACCATGATTTAAGATGAACTTGGGTGGGGGATACATGAGGATTAGAGTGAAACATTTTGATATGGAAAATCAACCCAAGGGAAAGTATGGAACGGATTACCTTGATGATCAAGATCAAGGGTAAAGAAAACTCGTTTCTAAACTCGTGATTCGAATCACTCCACAAGAGGTTTGATCAATACCACTTGAATGACTCTACATGCAAGTTCTAAACACAAGAATTTGCAAAGAAAGTTTAGCTCTCAACAAAGCTAAAATAGAAATTCTATTCTTAATTTCAAAATCTGCTGTCTAATCAAAGAAAAGAAGGCTTTATATAGCCCTTACAATCTTAACCTATGTGATATATAACTCCCAAATTAAATGGGCTAGTAAATGAAAAATACCCATAACTTCCATATTAAAATGGCTAGTTAATGGCGGAATATAGTAACCTATGTGGGTTACAATATAACCTTAACTCCTATATTTAAAACTAGCTTAAATATGACAAACAAATATTTAAACTATAATTAAATAATGCAATTAATAAAATGTGCTTATTGACTCATCCTTGGACTAGTTTCATAAATTGAGCGGAGTTCATTAAATGCAACATAAAGTGCATTTAATTCATCTCTTTCTTGAAGCTTAACTTTGCACAACGTATAAGGGAGGTCTTCAGCGTCTTCTAGAATTTCCTTTGATGAGCTCACCATAGCTTGAATATAACTGTATAAGGTTTGTTGTAGCTTCTTAGCTCTCGTCCTTGTAATTGGACCTTGAGGTATGGAAATTCCTTGGTCGTAGTTCATATCACATTTTCTCTAAATCAACTAGAAGTTTTGTGGTAATCCTCCTTAGGGCACACAAATGCACCCAAGAAGCTCAACATAAACAAATTGTTGTAGAAAATTACTGATGAATTTTTCCTAGCAATGTCAATCTGGTTAAAAGGTATCACGATGTATCACGATCGTTAAGGTTTCAAAACTATCATTTTAAGTTTGATTTTTTTAAGTATCTCATGTTTTATTGCATTTGAGGATATCCACCATGCTTATATAATACCAATTTTTAGAAGAGAATTTTGTTAAGCCTCCTCTTGATATTACAAAGGTGTTGAAAAAAAAAATGAAGGTTGTGGTATCTTCCCGTTATGGTTATAAAAACGTTAGTTTAGTGTTGTACTAGATAAGGTGTACCAAGAGAAAAACCTATTTGACAATGTTTACTATGAAAGTTACCAAAATCTCAAATTTTAGCTTGGCCACAAATCAAATATAGTAAGTCGTTAGTAAGTAGATCCATGTGATTTACTAGTGTATCGATTTGCATTGGGTTAGAGTGAAGTTCTTAACTAGTTTCATATCATGATTTTGACTCCAAAAATTTACTAGAATTGGAGTAGGTAGCCCAAAAAGAGGAAGTATTACAAATTTCTTAATTTTGTATGGAAAAATAGGCAAATTTGCATATGTAATTCATCTACAAAGATGAGACATTAATGATGAGCCAAATTAGGTGGACCGTTACAAACAATAATGAGGAAAGGAAAACATTTTTTTTATTATTATTATTAAAAAAAAAGTAGAGAACTAACAATTTTTATTGGAAACATTCCTTTAATGAATTCTCTAGGAATTTCTATAGTAAATGGACTACATAGAATTGTGATCAATCAAATATTGCAAAGCCTCGATATTTATTATCGGTCAAAATTTGACCATAACGGAATTTTGGTCTATACAGGCACCACAATATCTGATTTGGGAGGAAGATTAGAATTAGAGATGGATCGAAAAGCAAAGATTTGGGCTCGTGTGAGTATGAAACATAAAATATATATTCTAGTTCTATCATCAGCTATGGATTTGAATCTAAGAGAACTTCTTGAGAATGTTTGCTACCCTGAAATTTTTGTCTTTCGTGAATGATAAGGGGAAAAAAATTGGATAAAAAGGAAACTCCATTTTGAAGTTTTATCAACAATTTTCTTGTATAGGTGAGATCAGTTATTTTAAAAATGAGACTTTTGATGATGTATGGGCAAAGAGGTCCATTATTTAACTTTGGAGAAAAATGTAATAAAGGAAATTAGCAAACTATTGATGGTTGATAGAATCATCCTGACAAAAAAATGAAAGAAGGAAAGAAGTGAGGATCTTGAGATTAAGATTGGGTAAGTTGCCAATTTTAGTGTCCACATGAACATTGATTTCAATGAAGCGCTTGAGCTACCAACTTAGTATATAAATTATGTTGTTCATGAAATTTTAGAAGAGACTCAATATGACATGGTAATATTATGTATGAAATTTGGTGACCATTAGGTTATGATAACGGGCTAAACTAAGGTTAGGTGTAAAATGACTAAAATACCCCTATAATTATGTACCACTAGCTTATAATCAAAGTGACCTAAGTGAGATGAAATTTGATGAGGAGCTTATGTCATAGTGTAAAGGGATTACACAAAGTTACAAGGCCATTGAAATATGTTAAGAATTAAATCAAGATTTGGGGTGGTAAATTGTAACGACCCAAAATTTTCTACTTAATTTAAGGTCGCTACTATATACGTACCATAAACATTGAATGCAGAAGACTTCATTTAAATTCCATAAACATAACATTTATCTTAAAACACAACCATGAACTTATATGTGTTTTGAAAACAGCTTTCAAATGACACAACAAAAGACTAAATAAAATGAATAAGAGTTTAAGTTAAAAACATCATATTCTAGCCTAAATCTAAGAAAATAAATACCATTATCCTATACATGTGTCATGGTCTCGAGTTGCGATGCCATCGTTAGCCGTACAGGAATGTCTTGCTTTAACCTCAAAAATGTAGTAGCACATGGCTTTAGTATTTAAAGAAATACTGAGTGACCCCACTATTGGGATTAAATGCAACAATCACATGCAATGAGATGATGGGACCTATCTTTCATTCTGTTTTCCCTACGGTGTTGTCCTACCATATACTCTACACACAACCCATATGTGCGAGTATGCGCTCACCAGCTTGTTTGCACACCGCTGGACCACTTTCCTTATCCGGTGGACATACTCTGGGAGCCCCTTAGGCCGGACACCCGCTAGAACTAGTAACCGTCACGGCAGTGTTATGCAAAGCATAACGATCGTTGTCCTGCCATTGGATGTACGCGTCCGTACCCTCGTGATGGGAGGATAGGGGTATCCCCCAAATGCATGAGCGCACATAATGCATGAGGTCCCAAAACTTTTCCATTTCCATTATTCTTTAATGCAACCCCGCTAGCATTATGTACATATCATATCATTTTTAATATCGTTTCAGATATCGTTCATCATTCATGTCATATCGTTTCTCATTCTTCATTTCATACATAATTCTAACGGGGTTATATTTCATGTCATTTATCGTAATTTCATGTCATTCATATCATGTTGTATACACACAATTTAAGAGACCTAACATAACGTTCTATGCTTTTAACATAACATTTCATCATATACACATCATACCATGACATATTGCATCACAATGTATCATATCATAAACAAGTCATAATGTAAACACTTCGTAATCATATCGTTCTCTAACTTATCATAGTCTTAACGTTCTTATACCTATCATAGACATATCATTACGTGAACGTACCTTAGTCATATCATCACAAGAACTTAAGCTAATGCTATCGTTCTATCAATCCTAATGCTATTGTTCTATCAATCTATCACAAACCTATCCCTTTCTACCCGTAGCCTAACCGTATTCTTCCATCAATCTCTCTTTTTCATATCAGTCCGGTATGTAACCTAACCTTAATGTTTCATGGTATTTTACTCCTATCGTTACTTTTCGTTTTGTGCATCCTTCTTGTATCCTATCTCAAACATATCCTTGAACACATCGCACTATAATTATTATCATACAATTCACATATTATAACATATACATAACACATAGAAGCATATCGATACACAGACAATTCACATATATCAATATATATGACACGTGCAGAACCACAGGGCACGTGTCAACATCAAATATAACCATACCGATATAAGGTCACTTACCTAGCTAACTTAAGTCGTTGTCACGAATATATCTTTAATAAAAGTTCGATTCCGTCCTTTGAAAACCGAGTCAACCTATATGAACCATGACATTAGTTTAAGGTTTGAACTATACAAAATTATTTCT